GCGGAAGTACAGTAGATGGCCCGAGTCTAGGGTTATGGTGTCCTCTCCCTCTCTTCGGACTTCACACAGCCCCGGAACATGCCATCTAATGTTCTCCAGTTCCACTTCCAACTGTGCAAGGTGTTCGTCAAGCCTAAGAGTTCGTCCGTTAAACGTAGCCAGGGTCAGTTGTTTTTGGTAGCCTGCGGTAGCCCGGGGATTCTTAGCACCCCCTACCCCGCCGGTACCATGGCCGCTACCGTGACCAGGAATAGCGGGGCGACCGGGAACTGGGGGCCTTCGATTGGTTGTGCCGTCCATGAAGGGGGTTATTGCTCATAATCTCCACGCTGGGCATGCGGGTTGGAGATCGCAGGGCGCTGCCTTTGTACTACCGACGCTGCTGCCCGTCGGTAGCCAGCAGATTTGACAGCGCCAATGTGGGGAAGGGCTATACCGCCTACTACCGGTCGCCAGAGCCTCGTCGGTTACTGCAGGATGTACCGCGTGCAGGTGAGGTTGACAATAAGAGCTGTGATGGTGTGTGCCCCCTTACATCCCTTGATGTAATGTGTAAAAGAGATGTGCAGTGTTTTGGATAAAATCATCATTTAACATAATTAAAAAAGTCGTGTGGAAACATCTTACGACACATAGACAATAGCAGGAGGTAGTCATCGAGCTTAAGTTCAATCTACGCCGACTGACACAATGTATATTATTGCGTATTAACTGCCTCCGTGGCCGAACGGTTACCATGCCGGACTGCCATGCAGAGGTCCCAGGTTCGATTCCCGGGTCGGGAGAAATATTTGTATGGCCTACATTTATTTCTCTCGTGAGTTTGGGTGTAATTTGTGGTTATCTACGTGTGTGTCCATGGCACCCGCGACACAGGGTTTCCCTAGTGCGGGGCTATGTTGAGTGTGTACGTTATATAAAATTATTACATTGTGAAATAAAGTACATTTGCCTTATTTTGTTATCTTGTCCATAGTTGATAGGCCCGATGTCAGTTGTGAGTTTATTTATTTATTTATATGGTCAGTGTTTTTTTTATATGAATATAAGTGCGCATATGACCACCTGATGGAAGTGACGATGCTGTCAACCATGGAGCATGCACACCTTAATAATACCTATTCACTCCCGCCTTGAAAAGTTCCAAGTTGTAACATTCAGAGAACATGTTTGCAAGTAGGGAATTCCACTACATAGCCGTGAGTTCAGGTTCTTGGGAGATACTGCTGAGATTAAAACCAACGCGGGAAATTTATACATAGACGGTAACTGAACTAACCCGTATCATTTTACCTGTTTAGATTAGACTCGTACCCAGCAGTGGAACTTATAAATGGAACCATACAACTGCCACTGTTTAACTGTAGGTAGCTACAATAATATGCGCAATCAGAGTCAAATAACAGCATTGTTATATGATTTGTTATATGATGATGAGCAGTTCGCTACCTAAATATAGCAATAACACTAAATTATATATGTTTGCGTAAGCGCATAATGGGATGTCGACGGGGTACAGTCGGACACTTGTGTACTATATGCACTACACGTTTTATGTAGTACTTACATTGACTTACAAATAAATGGACGACGTTAACGTAGTGACATGTAAAGGAATATGAAAAAGCTAAAACGTTGAATTTAAATTGTAATGTCATCGCAGTACTGTCCAGTTTTGCTTGCTTCGCTGTCAGTCGAACAAACGAAGACTAAAGCGTGAATGACGCTCTGTATACGATTTTAACGCCCTATAAGTTCGGACACTTTTTAGCGCGGTCCCGACATATTTGTAAGTCAATGAGTACTTACAATAAATCGTACGCATTTAGAATCTCGTCAAAACTACGTCAAGATGGCGTAGTCGATATAGGTATGGATCGAACATACAATTATGAACAGGAAATGCAATGCAATAAAATTGTATGTATGTATGTAACGTTAACTACTGCCTAAAAACGTGGAATATTGTCAGGTTACTGCACTAATGCGTCAGTTGATCTGTAAATAAGTATCACTACAAAAAATGTAATTTGATATTTGCTCATAATTGAAATCTGTATGGTGACATAAGTCAAAAATGTTTCGCAATGTTGTGACAGGCCGACCAAAATAGCTTTTATACGTCTAGACAGAAAATTGATAAATACCTTGATTTTCTAGATGCTATTACGTAGAAATGATTACAACAGCTTTCACTCGACTATGATTGAGACACACATCGAACTATTCAAGGATAAATGTCACGTTAAGTGCCCTTAGAGTTTAGTAAATAGCTTAGAAATTAGAATAGCATTAGTAGAATAAATAGCTTAGTTTCATATTTCAATGCTCTCATCCAATACTAGTAATTGGTTCGTTCCTATACCCGATTAATTTTAAGTACTTCTTAGCAGAGTTCACACGAAAATAATAATTTCCTCTTTTCATTTAAACCATGCTTCTTAGTAACTACGCTAATGTAAATGAAGCTTAGTGACTGACCATGCCATAAGCTTTGTCTTCGTCCATATGAAACTGAAGGATCCAATTACAGTTTATGAAAGCCGATTCTTTAATAATGATGTATTTATAGGGAGTCATCGATTTTTCTTCCATTCTTTACAAGGTTTTCTCGTTTATTTAGTTTATAGTAATTACCTAAAATACGGATTTGTTGAAGTTATTGTAATTATTATAATTTCATGTGATTCCTGTAAAACAGCTACTGTACACATCGTACACCGTACCTGACTTATTTATAAAATAAACTAAGGCTAAATTAAATTAAATACCTATACATTTTTATTTATTTATTTATTTATCTATCTGATATCTATCCATTATTATTAGATGGCCTCCGTGGTCAAGTGGCTTGCACACCGGTTTTCATAGTGTCGCCTTCTCAGAGGTCCCGGGATCAATCCCCGCCCGGGGGCCTTTCGCGCTAATTGTCAACGGTACAACCAAAATTAAAGTACAAACAAAACTTCGCTAATGTGACACGTTGCGCACATTTGGTTAATTGTCGAAGGTAAAACCTCGAATTTAAAGTTATGTTGTTATGGAATTAATAATAATAAAGACTGAGAGAGTTACTTTGTTATTGAATTGTATGTTTGAAGTTATTTAGTTACTATGCGCTTGAGTTGGTGTCCTTTAGTTTTGCTGGAAGTGTCCCTGCCGCAGCCGTTGCCGCCGTAGATTCTCACCCTGCTTTTCATATCATTCCATACCTGAATAACAATAATAACATTGCGTATTACATTGATATTAGTTCTGGTACAATAGGGTGAATATCTCATGCGTAAATTTTGCGAGTCCAGGCTGAGAAACCAGGTGTAAAGTGAAGAAATATTAATGATTTTATTTTTATAGTTTAATTAGACGTAAAATGAGTTTAGGGCAAGAATTTCAGAAAATTCATTGTACAATAATAATTAATAAAAAATATTAATAAGGTCGTATTCTGAAACCAAATTAAGAGACTAATTTTGTCATTATTTTATCACAATTTAATCGTCTCGGTTTTATTTTTAAGCTTTTACTTCTTTTTTCCCGTAATTTATTTTTTGAGATTTAATCTTACGTGGCTCCAATTTGGTGGTTTTGGTGGCGTTTGTGTTACCACCATAACTTAAAAACGCCACCAAATTTTAAATTGTTATGATATTTTTGAATATAACGTTCACTTTCGAAAATTGTTTTAAAGTATTATAGTTTATTTGTCCCAATAAACTTAAGAAAGATAGTGTTATTCATAATTTTTCAGATAAGCAAAAATTACTTTATTGCTTTTTAATCTATTTGTACCTTAGCGATCTTTTAAATTTGTATTTTACTTAAATTAACGGTGATATCATTGATTAAATGATTTTGTTCAAAACGTCAAACACGAAAATTTAGTTCATTGGCAGTTGAATAACTACGATAGACTACGCTATCTCCAGGAATGTTTTCCGAAGATAAATTGTAGAAACTCAAATGTTTACCATGAGGACATGCGGTGGGTTTATCGAGCCATTGAGACTTAATGCAAAATAAGGCACAGAATGCTAATTTAGAGTTGTTACTTTTTTCCAAATAACCTGAAGAAATAACACTTGGTACAATTATAACTAACGAGTGGAGTAATTTCACAAAAAATAATTGAATATCATAGTGGTGAAACATCTTGACATTCAATAACATTTATTTACAACCTGAAGAACATTCATGTTACCAGGAAAAGGCCAGTCTTTTCCACAATTTCGTAACTTTCTACAGGTTTAATTTTAATTTTATCAATGGCAGGTTTTAATGCCAGATAAACGAATAAATATCAGTAATGTTGTTCCCAAATGACACTTTGATCTGCAGTTCTATTTAATAATCCTTCAACTCCTGGGCACCCTTGCCATGGCCACATTCGCAATGATCGCGGGTGCCCCGGATGTAGTTGGAGGATTTTTAAAGACAACAGATCAATCAGTGTCGTTTGGGAATGACATTACTGACATTGATACGATCATAATCATTCGATCGTAATAATATTCAAATTAAACGTGTACATTACGGAATTGTTCAAAAAGACTGGCTCATTCTTCAGGTTATTTGAAGAAAAAGTAATAACTCTAAATTAGTACTCAGTGCCTTATCAACACCATCATCTGATGATGATGAGATGATGGTGTTTTAGTCCAACTACTCAAAACAGGAGGAAATCCTGTGGTAAAAGTGCTTGTGAAACTTTTCAACAAAGTTCTTCATGAAGCTCGAACACCAGAGCAATGGAAGAATGCCATCGTCACCACCATCCACAAAAAAGGCGACATTGCAAAACTTAGCAATTATCGGCCGATTAGCTTGCTCTCTCAGATTTATAACTATTTACAAAGATTTTGACCATCTGGCTTACCAGTGAATTTGACGAAGCGCAGCCTATTGAGCAGGCTGGCTTTCGGAGCGGCTTCTCAACCATCGACCATATCCACACGGTTAATTAGCTGATGGGGAAATGTCTCGAATATAACCGGCCCCTTGTCATGGCCTTCGTCGATTATGAGAAGGCTTTTGACAGTATCAAACATTGGGCCCTGTTCCACGCTCTTCATCGCTGCCACATCGATTCCCGCTACGTGGATGTGCCCCGGGAGCTCTACCGTTCAGCCACTCTGCAGGTACGAGTTCACGATTTAACCAATCCCGTTCCAATCCGGCGAGGACTTGAAGATGTCGTAAAAACCCTTAAATGGGATAACCGCGGCATTAACATCAATGGTGTAGCACCATTTGTCTCACCTAAGATTCGCGGACGATCTCGTGCTATTTGCAAGTTTCGACGATCTCCAAAGGATGCTGGAACAACTTTATGATGCTTCTTTGAGAGTTGGCCTAAGGATGAATATGTCCAAGACGGTGGGAAATGAGAGGCTGGAGAGAGTCGATCAGTACGTCTGTCTCGGACATGTTCTATCCTTTGGCAAAGAGCATCAGCCTAAAGAGATCTCAAAAAGAATCCAGCTGGGATGGGCTGCGTTTAGCAAGTTAGGTGACATCCTTAAATCAGGTAAGGTTCCACAGTGTCTGAAGACCCGCTTGTTTAATCAATGTGTTCTGCCCGCCATGACGTATGGTGACGAGATGTGGACGCTCACGCAGGAGACTGTATAAGACCGAGTTCCGAACGTTGAGATCCGACGATGGACGAAAGTCTAGGATGCTGGAACTCGAATCATGGAACTCAAATGGGAATGGGCAGGACACCTAGCTAGACAAGGTGATATTGGTGGCGGCTAGCACGGGACCGTGATAGATGGCACAAACTTCGGGAGGCCTATACCCAGCAGTGGGTGAAATCAGTCTGTGAATGATGATGATGCCTTATCAAGCCTTAATGACCGGTGAAACCTACCGTATGTCCTCATTGTAAACATTTGGGTTTCTACAACTTATCTTTAGGAAACATTCGTAGAGATGGCTTTGTTTATCATAGTTCTTCAACTGCCAATTAAAACAACAATGAATTCATTCACTAAAATCCAGGGAAGCACTGCCATGTTACCTATTTCTGCCGCCAAGCAGTAATGTTAGCATAGTTAGGTTTGGAAGGGTAAGGGTGCTGGTGAAGTTACAGGCACATGGGACTTGCCAACTTACGTCTCAGGGTGACGGGCACAGTGGCAGTGCTCCTCAGATCTTTGCTTATTTAAAGCTCTGAGTGGCACTGCCACTGTTATAGACAAGCGTGTAGCTTACCAGCAGGCGCATGACTCGTTCGTCCCGTCACATGGTATTAAAAAGAAAAAGCAGTAGAAAATTCCAACTGTGTGTCGTTTTAAAGGGGCAAACAAATTTTTATCACAATTAAATTTACTTAATAGTCTTTGTTTTTTATATATTCCAACTTTGGTGGCAATATTCAATTCTAGTGCAACCGATAAGCGTTATGGTGGCATTTCTAAGTATTGGTGGCGAGAAAAAATTTTAATTGCTTATATCTGTGAAATTAATGGAAATGGTTATGTCCCGGTCACGTATATATAAATGAACTGTTTCATTTTATTGCAAACGAGTCTCGGAATCTAAAAAAAAATTGCGCCACCAAAACTTACAATAAAATGCATTTGTTGATATTCACCCAATAACGGTGAGTGATCCACTAACTATATCCTATTACCCCTCATTATGACTCACTTTAACCCACTCTTTGGGATCTATTGTGGGGCCTCAAAATAGCCACGCACTCGTACCAAAGGCGTGCCGATAGCACGCGCGAACAACGCCGAGCGAAGTCATCCTCAAGCCAAATCTCTGTGCGATTCGAACTCCAGCAAAGATGGAGCTGGCTTACAGAGGTCGCTCGCCGTCCGACCGCATTCACAACGACTAAAATACAAGCATCATTATATTATAATTCTACATTACCAACATTTCGAAATTAATAATATTTAGCGTACCTATTTGACCGTGTAAAAAGATACTGTTTTATTAAATAGAATATTAAAACAGGAAAACAATGCTTAGGTACTTGCCTCTGCGTGTTTTATCTTTAACTATTCAATGGAACAGGTGTAGCTTTGGTAAATATGTAGTTTTATCGATGCACAGAATGCAATTGCGGTATAAATGTGAAAGGTAGATCAAAACTAAACTAAAAAGAAACCAATGCTACACCTCATATGAAACTTTAAGAGACGCACCTTGACTACCTGAAAAACCGATAAAATTTGCCGTAATTAAAATTTTAAAACGCACTGAAATATCAATCTACGAATCCAAGTCTACAAAAGAGCGATTTAAAAAAGTATGTGAAAGAAATGTCTGAAATTCTATTGTAAACAAACATATGAGTTGTGATTTGAACCATATTAATTGAATTTAGTGTGCTGTTCTTAAACCTTTTGAAAATAACGCGATTGGCCTCTGGGTCAGTGTAGAAAGCTAACTTTTCTATATTGTCTCGGGTCTGGGTGTTTGTGGTGCCATCATTACTTCCGATTTCCATAACATAAGTGATTTAGCTACTTACTTTGGGATCAGAGCAACGTATGTGATGTTGTCTAATATTTATTTATTTAATATAATATTAATATTTATTCTTTTTTATTTCTCTTTTTATTATTGATGCCCTTGAATAAACGTAACGGTTAGGTCCTCTTTGTGCTTTTAATGCGTACTTCATTGCGAAAACATCTTTAAAAATAAAAATTAGCAACACTGATTTATAATGCAGTAATACTAGTGTTTCTTAATAAATGGTTCTTTTCAGAAGCTTTTCTTATTAGTATCTAGCATTGCATTATTTAGTAGTTCAATCATAGCATTCTCTGTAATGAGCTATCACTACATATTAGGTTAATGTAAATGAGTGGCTCCAAATATAGCCTTCGAATGTATAGACACGTTATATTTAACTAAATTTTATATTTCGATTTCATAACAAAATAACGTTGTTTTGTTGTTTTAAGTACCCGCAACCTTAATGTTTATTTGTCTTAATGATTGACCCTTCACCCATCTCAATGAAATGATGCAACCACTTAATGAAAAAAACCTTGTGAAGAATGTGTCAACTAGTAATTAACTAATCTGCTTGGGACCATTGAAAACAGCTTCGTAAACCAACTACTTTATCTTTATATGTTATGTATATATATGTATATATATATATATATATATATATATATATATACGTAATCTTTTAATCAACGACGTAATGACTTCAAAATAAGCGTATTATACGGTTTTTTATATAAACACTTTTTTAACCACGCTTTTTTATAAAAAAACGCGTGCGTGCGTGCATGTGTGTGTCTGTGTATGTCTATGTCTATGGGTGTGTTTGTGCGTGTGCGTGCGAGTGTGTGTGTGTGTGTGTGAGAGAGAGAGAGAGAGAGAGAAAGAGAGAGAGAGAGAAAGAGACAGATAGAGAGTGCGCGTGTGTGTGTGGCTGTATGCGCGCGCACGCGCTTGTGTGTGCGTTTTACTTTTTTTTCACTGTTTGCTGCATAATAAAGTTTCTTTTTCTGATACCAAGTGACGGAACAAACAAGTCGTGCGCCTGATGGTAAGCGACACGCCTGTCCATAACAATTGCAGTGCCATTCAGAGTTTTAAACCGCAAAGGTCTGAAGGGCACAGCCTCTGCGCCCGTCACCCTGAGACATAAGTTGACAACTTCCATGTGCCTGTCATTTCACCAGCATCCTTACCCGGAACCTAAAACCGGAACGCAGTAATGCTCACATTGCTGCTTGCCGACATAAATAGGTAAGGTAGCAGTACCTCCTTGGATGAACTCTGTCACAAGGAGCTTTACTGCTACTAAAGTAGTAGTCCAATTTTACAATATCCGATCATACAAGAGGAAATTCCAAGATTCTGATGGAGAGTGTGCAAAGAACACGGCGACGTTAACAAACTTTTGCATAGACTTAAATGTCAACCACACACAAATATATAATATTGATGAGACAGGTGTAACAACAACTCACAAACCTAGCAGAGTAATTGCAGTTAAAGGGACGAGTTGGGTCGGTTCCATTACTTCTCAAGAAAGAAGTATCCTAGTCACTGTGTGTTTGACTGTTAACGCAATAGGAAACGCTGTGCTGCCTTCTTTGTAATTGCCCGAAAGCATTTTCAGCCTCATTTTATAAGAGATGGCCCTCCTGACTGTGATGGTTCAGGTAATAAAAGTGATTGGATGCAAGATGAAGATTTTTTATTGTTCATGAAACACTTCACTAAATTTGCCAAGCCAACTAAAGAAAATCCGGTTGTAGTTATTTTGGACGATCATTCTTCTCATATAAATCTACCCGTTATTCAATTTTGTAAAGAAAACTCCATTTCTATTTTATCACTTCCACCACATACGACGCACAAACTACAACCACTTGCCAGGTCAGTTTTTGGACAGTTCAAAACTAAATTTAACGTTGCTGCAGATCATTGGATGAAAAATCATCCTGGACAACGAATGACCATATATGATTTACCAGAACTTGTTAAAGAAGCTATTTCTGTCGCTACAAATAACATAATCCAAGGGTTTGCATCCACAGGTATGTGGCCATATAACAAAAATATTTTTTCTGACTTTGATTTTGCTCCAGCCAGCGTTACTGACCAAGCGAATAAAGAACTCATCCTTGGTCAATTTGATCAGTAAGACATGACTATAAATGCAGAACTGGTTAATAATGTATACCCGTCAACGCTTTCAACATCGTATCAGATTTTACCCCAGACGTCACCTCAACCAACATCAAGTCTCTCTCACCATACACCGCCACGTAAGACTTCCCTAGTAGATTTCATTCTGCTTCCAAAAGCCTCACCTCGAGTCACATCTAAAACTGCGAGATCCAAAGGGAAAACTGCAATATACACTGATACGCCAGAAAAGGAAGCGTTAGAGGTAAAGCAAAGAAAGATTAATGAGAAAGAGTTACCAAAATTAAGACATTTAGTATCGAAGCCGACAGGTAAGAAATTTACTAGAAAAAGTACTGTAAGAATAGAAAATAATGAGACAGATGATACCATAGATGATGCGACGAAAATGATAACTATTGCATTGTCTGTTTTAAACATTATAAAACCAGTAAAGAAGACTGGTTGCAATGTAGAGAGTGCCATAAATAGGCACACTCTAGCTGTGCTAAAAATGATTCTTTTTTGTGTGTTTAAACTGTTTGTCGGATAACTGTTATTGATTGTATTATTAATTACGTATTTAAGAGTCGATCCAACTTCAAATGGCTTTGGTTGATTCCGCATAACAGTGAACGTGTTGAATTAATCACTTTGGAAATAGTAAATAGTATGATTGAGGATACACCGATTGCTATATTTATATATAAAACGATTCCAAAAAATTTTCATGGTCGAAAAAAAACACAAACTTGTAAAAAAACCTTGTCGAAAACCGCTGTACTTTACAAATAGAACTCGTATACATATAGTATAGGACACACATTTTTAATTTCGTTTGTAAAAAATAAATTCTGAAATAAAGCCAGTGTATCTCGCGCTCGACCCACGCAATAGAAAATATTCAGTATGAGAAAAATTTAAATTCGCGCTGAGGTAGTATCGACTGTTAAGTGATTAAATTAACTTTTGACAAGACTTTGTTTCATTTATTTTTTATTGTTGACGATTTTTGTATGTTACAATTGACTCACATTGCTGTTACAATTGACTCTCGCGGTGCAGCAATTGTAACGTTATTAGCTGATCACAATAAGTGTGGTTTTCTAGAATTTTATCTACTTTTTTGCTATTTTCTTAATTTGATTTTATTATTAAATAACTCAAAATGATTGTGGCCAAAAATTATTGTGCTGTATTTGCTAATTAAAATATTATGAAGAGTTTTTTTTGTTACTACTGACACACCTGTCCCCTACTGAAGTTCTTTTTTTGACGGCTAGATGTCGCTTAACGTTAAGAAACTGAGAAACTAACACTTGTAGATACCAGTCTGGTTACATGTTAATTAGGTCATTATAGTTTCTTTTAAATAGGTATGATGAAATAGGCCGCTATTATAATTTGAAAAACCTAATAAATTTATTTTATTCAAACTTGTATTTGAAGACGCTAACGAATTATTTTAACTCTGATTTTTCCATTGTTCTTTCAAGCCTCGCCTCGCCTCGCCGATGTAAAATCACCTGAACTTGAGAAGTTTGATTAATACCTCAAATAGCATTGCAATTGCGGCAAAAGACTGTTTGAACATATCGCACATGACAACTAACATAGTATTATCTCAAAATTGCTCCAAGTTATATTAATATTACCTATTTAATTTCAAAGTGACAATGTTGTCCTGTCATTTTCAAATTAAATCGTATACAAATATAGCGAAATTTTGGAGATAAATTATTAAGATAATGCAATTTTGAGATAAAATATAATATAACACAATTTTTGAGATAATACTATGTTAGTTGTCAAGTGCGATATATTATCGCCATTTTGTGGTTTACCTCAAAAAATAACTGTTACGTGAAAACAATGGGCAGTATTATTTGGGGACACAATAGTGCTCTCGCCAAGTCAAGCATCCCCAACTGTACTTCATCATTCAGCATCTACAATTGTCTTGGCTCTTCTCGAAATGACTGTACAGTTTTTAAGCAACCATCTTTGTCATAGATTGAACGAAAGGCCTTATAGGGTATTTAATACGCTTTACCAAGCCTCTAAGGCAAAAGTTTATATGTTAAATATTTTAAATATTATCTACCATGAAACATTTATTTCGTTACCGATCATAATAAACTTTGATACTTATAGTAGACTTAGTAACAGACTTAGTTTTTTCGTTTCTGAAATATTTTCTGTTCGGCTTGGCTCTAATTTCACATTAAAATAAAGTTTTCAAGTTTGACGATACGACACTTCAGAAAGTTATGCGGAATAAGTACCAACTTGTATAGATTGATTATCCTGTTGCTACCTGTGCACGGCATAATCATTTACATGTTGTTTGCGCTTTACTTTTTTTTTCGCTAATGCATATAATGTACTACATAGGTGTATACTAAGGCTCAACTCACACTGGCGCAGAGTCGAAGCGTTTTTCGCCTATAGCATATTCATCTCTATTTTCCCATTATTAAGGTACAAATTTGTGTTACGCAAATATGGAGTCACGACGCGACGCGAGTCGTCTCGCGCCCGGAATGCTCATTTAAGTTAAAACGTAAAAGCTAAACGAATAGAGCGTACTTTGCCATGACAGTCTGATGCACGCGGTCGACCGCGGATGAGCGGCGGCAACGCGATTCTTGTTTGGAATTCTGAATATTACTGGTTATTACAACAATACAATTTGTACTATCGTCATTTTATAATATGTCATTAATAGAAAGTTTATTAAAAAAGACCACTACTTGCCCGTGGACCACGAGTCTGAAGAATGTAAATAGGGTGCGTAGGTTTATAGCATACTAGCTGGTGCCCGCAACTTCGTCTGCATAGAAGAAGTACTTCGAAAAACCTACTGTACTTATACTAATTTTCACAGTTTTAATGGCTCTCCATAAAAACTTTCACCCACTATCATCACTTTTAAGACTTATTTTTGTGACAAAATGAAGCCTATGCCTTTCTCCTTGGTCCCAAGGTCCCATAATCTTAAACAATACGGAACCAGTCTTCTATACAAGCCAACTCATTAAAATCCTTAAAGATATGAATATTTCTTAAATAATTTTACAAATCGAATATATTACACGACAAATAAACAAAATAAAACAGAAGAACAATTCCTGTAGAATGAACCATATTTTTAGTATATGTACATAATTATTACAATATCAACTTCTGGGCACGATGTAGTATAATACAAATAACATTAAAATATAGTATCCAAGTGTTATCTAAATAGTAATGTGCGTGCGCTCCCGGCTTACGCAACATAACTGCGACAAGTTAGCATGATGTTATTGGCAGTACCTAGTAACTACATACTCTACAGAAGCAGCAACTCATCTTGTCGATCTCGACCAGAATATACACTAAGTGTCATTTAGCATGTCAATTGTAATCATTGATCCCTTCCTACCACTATACACGTTATTTCTAAAAATGATACTCTTCTACGTTTTCAATGACATACGAAAGTTATTTATGTTTAGCGTACCGTGATAGAAATTACCATAACGTAGAGATACCAGTGTTGTTAGTGTTTAATTATTAGGGGTTAAAGTATGAAATTGCCGTTTTATTGCAATAGGTTCTTTGAATTTTCATAGAATCTTCATGGTTTGAGGTTTTCGAATGAAACTTTTTTCAAATGGTTTCTGTGATTTTTTTTTTTTTTTTTAATTTGAAACATTTGAATATCGACTTTCAATTGTTTTTGTTATTCAATTTAGACAAGAAAGATGGATACTGCGAAAATTCGAGTGATTTTTGAATACGAGTTCCGACGCGGAACTAACGCGGCAGAAACAGCCCGCAATATCAATGCTGCGTTTGGAGAGGGGTCTACTAATGAACGCACCGTGCGATTTTGGTTTAAACGCTTTCGTGATGGAAATTTCGACTTAAAGAACGAGTCACGAGGAAGACCGCCCACACAGGTGAATAACGATGAATGAAGAGAGATAGTGGAAGCCGATCCTAGTCAAACTACCCAGGAATTAGCGGCATGGTTTAACGTTACCTTACCCACAATATTGACTCACTTGCGTCAAATCAATAAAATAAAAAAATACGAAAAATGGGTGCCTCATGATTTGACTGATCTGCAGAAAGAAACGCGTGTTGAAACTTGTGTTGCCTTGTTGAACCGGTACAGAAATGAAGGTATATTGGATCGAATTGTAACATGTGATGAAAAGTGGATTCTTTATGATAACCGGAAAAGAAAAATGCAATGGCTGACCCCAGGTCAAATGCCACAACAGTGTCCTAAAGCAAAACTTACCAATAAAAAGGTAATGGTAACTGTTTGGTGGTCTCAGCATGGTGTTATTCACTATAGTTTTCTCCGATCTGGTCAAGCAATAACGGCAGATGTCTGTTGTGCCGAACTCCGAACCATGTTGACAAAACTAGCAGTAAAACAACCCCGACTCATGAATCGATCTTCACCATTATTGTTCCACGACAACGCGAGACCTCACACAGCACGAGAAACCATTTTGACCCTTCAGGAACTGCAGTTAGAAACCATTTGTCATCCTCCGTATTCACCAGACCTTGCTCCAACGGACTACCATTTTTTTCGTGATTTGGACAATTATCTACGTGACAAGAAGTTTTCTTCTCAGGAGGCAGTACAAAATGCTTTCACATAGTTTGTGCAGTCTAGATCGTCGGAGTTCTATCGCAAAGGCATTAATAACCTTCCCATTAGATGGCAGCAATGTATAGATAATAATGGCAACTATTTTGATTAAATAAATTTGTTAAAAATTTAAAATATAAACAATTTAGATTTTCAGTACAAATCGGCAATTTCATACTTTAACCCCTATTATTATAGTTTGATACTAATGAATCACACTAATTAAAAATTTTGTCTTTATTTTTTCAAAACGTAATAACGTAAATACTAAGCAGAACCGGAACTTCCGGAATCCGATGCGAGTCGCCTAGCCCAAATGTGGTATTAATTCTGACTAAAAAAGAACAAAGTAAATTGATAAAATAAATCAATACCAAAATTAAAAAAACGAAATAACAAAACAACACCAAAATTGAAACGTGAACATTTCTAAAACTCGGCCGATAGTAATCGTACTCAGACTTATTACGTTGGATATTAGAGAGGATGGAAAAAAATACAGGAAAGGAGCTGCCTTGAATGTTGAAACTGTTGTTGCCGTGTTTTAGGTTTGCAAATGTGTGTAGTTTACTGTAATCAAAGTATGATTAATACTAGGCTATAATTACTAGGCAAGTAATGAGCCATTTTATTTAAAATTAAATGTAAAGGTATTTACCAATAAATGTAACGATGGAATTGCATTATCATGTAATCTAGTTACATTCAAAGTTTTCACAGTCTAAATGCATCATATATATACATATAACGTCTGATTTATATATGTTAATATAACATATCCTTTGGTTTCCATAATCTAAGGTTGGATAAAATTGTAAAACAAAATGGCGAAAAGTGACGTTCTGGCGTGAAATTACGTAAAAAAATAGAGATAAGTTATTACCATTTTATTTTCCATTGGCTTTAATTATGTTATTCACATGACATCAGCATCCTGACGGTTATATAGAGAAAGGCTATCGTTTGATATCGAATAGTGTCTTCGGAATTAAAATCGGTGCAATGATGCTAATGACGCGCTAATTGGTACAAACTATATAATATGGTATTTGCACTATTTTTTTAAGTGACATAGAGGGCGGCAAAAGAACGTCAAAGGACGTAAGAAATATACACCTATACGTTTAACGCCAATACTACTAAAACCGTTCATCCCTAAATGGTGAGAATGATTTCAAAATATCTTGTTTTTCTTTGTTGAACAAAACCCGCTGCAATAAACGAGCTATGGTGCACGTCACTTCTCCTAACGTGAGTGCTTGCGCAGGTTCCGCTATCTTTGATTAACATGGAAACGGATCGGACGTGACCCGTCGACGTAACAGATTGCGCCGCATTTACGTGCAGTTTAGACTTTTTCCATCCTCTAAGACGTGCAATACTGGCTTTGCTCGTCCTTACTTACTTTTTGTCTACGGTTTTTTGTGGTTAATCGTCATGTAATTTAGACGCAAAACTCTAAAAACAATGTAGTAGATACCCACTTGCTAAAAATCGACATTAAATCACTCGAAATCTAAGGAATCGACAAGTTACAAGGATAAATACAAGCTGAAGTAATACATACCGAACCCATATTCCACTGCTCAACACAGAGCGCTTCATGTTTTTAAAGTATTTTTCTGTCTTTTACGCTTAATAATCTGATCATAAAAATGATTGTTTTATAATCTGGCGCAGGTTCACTGGGACCATTGGGTGAGTATAGTGGGTATTTTAGTGACTTTCTGTTCCTTCTTGTAATATTTTTCGTAAGTCATTGTGTTCACTACGCGTTCTCCTGACTTCTTAGCAAGTTTGTCATATAGCGGCAGCATGAGCAAACCAGTGCCGAAAGTGCCAATAGGTCGTATCGTGGTCCAAATCGAAAGGTTAATAAGGCGAGTTCCTGGCATTTAACTGCCTCCGTAGCCGAACGGCTACCATGTCGGACTGCTAGGCAGAGGTCCTAGGTTCGATTGCCGGGCCGAGAGAAATATTTGTATGACCTGCATTTATTTCTCTCGTGAGTTTGGGTATAATTTGTGGTTGTTTATGTGTGTGTCCATGGCACTCACGACACAGGGTTTCCCTAGTGCGGAGCACGGTTGAGTGTGTTCGTTTTTTAAAAAGAAAATAGCTCACGTAATGCGCGCCCGCACTTCGTTTGTTATATGTGTACGCATAACGACTTGTAAAATCATCATCAATTACTCACGTATTTTTGTAGTATAGTGAACGAACTTTTTTTATCTAGCGTTGGAGATTTACCCTTTTTTGGACATCTATCAAATTGGACTCAGCTTTAAGACAAAATTTTCAGAATTCAAACTTATGCAATTTAGTAAGTACATACCTACCTCAAGTGTACAACAGCGTCCGGTCCGAATTAGACTTAGATCTACTATGCTTCCAAACAGAATTTACAGAGAGACTTCCAATCTTATGCAATTTACTAAGTAATAAAGGTATAAGTACACACCTCAAGTGTATGACAAAGTCCGGTGGAAAAGTCAATACATTCCCAACCATACGTACGTTGGATGTTTCAAGAAATGTGCAAACTTTAGTCGAATTTACACGTTATAAGGTTCGCTGTTTTAGAGAAAATTAATTATGTGTAGGTATACAGGGTGTAATAGTTACGTGTGCCCGGAGATTGTTCCATAAATATAAGAGAAACAACTGTTACGATGCACGAGGTCATTTACCCAATTGCAGTCCAACACTATCAACAATACCTTAACACATAACGCCTTAGATGCACAAAGGAGAAGTTGCTAAACGCACCATTATTGTATTTACACACTTCCCTTTATACCTGCCACTAAAAATTAAATTAAACCTCTTTTTTTAGGCAGGAAATACCGAAACATGGTCAACATATTCCTACAATTATACATCCGACAATTTCCTTCATAGCTTCTTCCAAGTTCCACATTCCCACAGTACTATCCTCCTACTTTCGTATCAATTGTGCTCGCATTGAGTAGAACAAGTTTGGATATTTACGCATAAGTGTCCTGAACACATCTTTTTCTAATAGTAATACCTGTAATTCAAGCAAAGTATGCTGTAAGTACTATAATACTAAATATATAATAATACATGTAGGTATAATAGAGACAAATACAAGAACCGGCAAATTCCATTGAAGCCATTATACATGGCCGTATTGCGGGAATTATATTTGGGAGACCTTTGTTGTTGTTATTGTTGCACACTGACGCTTATGATGAAAGGGAGTACTGACTTGGCAATGCGTTATAGCGACCACTTCGCAAGCGCTAACTTCGCAGTCGGTGAACAGCGACATCTCGTTGAAGTAATCTCCGTCGATGAGGTGCTCAGTTTCAACATTATCTGACGAGTACACCGCCAACAGTCCCGCTTTTACCACGATTAGTCCTTCGCTGTGGCTGTTAAGCTAAAATAAGGTGGATACGCTTCGAAAAGCCTGTAATTATTGTAAACAAGTTTCTCTAGTAAATAGATTGGTACCTACCTACTTATACTTATTAATAATACGATGTATGATCAAATACGCTGTAGGTAGGTTCTTCAGAAATGCAGAGGTGATACTTACTACATAGTATTAACAAGTGTTATGTGACGCAATAGTACCGATTATTTGAAAAGTTTTTTAAAATTGGTCAATAGTCATACATAATAAAAACCATTACTATGAACAAACAAACTGCTAATACTAACATTGATAACGATGTCACCGGTCATGAAGAATTCTTCATGCGCACTTAGTGTAAGCCACTCAACTATATCCGAATGCCACTCGGAAAAATACGGTATCCTTCTAATGTAACGTTCATTAAGAACCAACTTAATTTCATTAGTTAAAGGTTGAGGCAGAGAATGAATTAGGTCATTTGAACTATTAATAATATTTGCTTTGCCGACTTTATAGTTGTAGTATTCTGCAACTTTTTCGATCATAATTGTAGGCATATGCTTGCTTCGCAAAAGGACCATCATCATATCCTTTTGTTTTGCTAACTCATCCTCTGGATTGTGAATCCTTTGAATAAGTCTGTAACATTCCATTAAGCTCCACACAAAGAAAACCCCACAAACCAATAATGATGCCATAGTTAATACTTGATCTAAAGGTCTAAAGCCCACATCTCCTTTGAGTGTGATAATAATAAATGGCTTAAGCAATAGTGCTAGTTCGAAAGCTATAAATACAGATGTTGGCAATATCATTTGGGCATTCAGAATCGTCTCTAAGAAGGAGTTTTCAAGAATTTTATTTTCTTTTATCATTAATAGAATATTGATGGCGTCAATAAATGATAACAGTTGCAATCTGGCTAGTGCAGCTAGCGTTACTACGCGCAGAAATCGAAGACAGTGCGTTTGCACATACGACTTACACTCTCTCGTCCACAGCCGTGTAGAATCAACTACTCTATAATAACCAAAAATGCCCAATATTTTGATCCAACTAACAGTGCTATTGGATTTACATAATTTGCAATCTATTTCCCGGCGATATCGCAGCACCAAAATTGTTTGAAAGGGCAGGGATGACAGTACGTGAAGGAAAAATTTTGTTGAGCAGTAATGGATGAAACTCATCTTCATGTCTAGTACCACTTTTCTTTCTTCTTGGTCAATGTATCCTGACATAAAGTTGATCCATATGTCTATAAGAAGGATGACCTCTAGGACAATTCCAATAACTGGGTATGGCATCGGAATGGACGGATATAATACTGATGAATTACAATGCATACATAATCGGATAAAGATGGAAGTGATGAGTATAATATAATCCCAGTATTTGCTAGAACAAGAAGGCCTTAATAAAATACGGAACTTTTCTTTATCTATAACGACGGGGTGTATGCCGTAGACTGCCACGACAACAAAAAGTGAGGAGTCGAGAGATTTGCGGGTTTTCGAAGAGATTTGAAAACATTCTCCGATTAATTCTGATTGCTACCTCTGTGGCCGAACGGTTACCATGCCGGACAGCCACGCAGAGGTCCCAGGTTCGATTCCCGGGTCGGGAGAAATATTTGTATGGCCTACGTTTATTTCTCTCGTGAATTTGGGTGTAATTTGTGGTTGTCTATGTGTGTGTCCATGTCACCTGCGACACAGGATTTTGCTAGTGCGGGGCTATGTTGAGTGTGTATTATAATTTAAAAAAAATATATTTTCCCTCGTCATTAAAGACAGTAAAATGAACTACTTATGATTCGAAATAGTGTGAAAAGTCTCAGTGTTGTCGATTTATTGCGTTGTTGACTTAAGGTTCTTGATAAACTGCTTTATTGTTTACCAAAGAACTAATAAGTGCATAAAGAGGAAGCCAACCTGAACTTGCTGAGAGGATGTATTCGACCGCGGTGCCTACGGTATTGATAAGCACGATCGAGCTTCAACGCGTACGAACTTTTATAATATTTGCGGCATCTCTCATCATCCTGTGACAGAAGAAACAAATTTTGCCACCAGCGTTTCAGGGTGGACGTCCAGTAGGTTCCTTTAATGGCAGTGTCCAGTATATCGCCTTTTCTCGATTCCATGCAATCGTGTTCGAAGTAGGATTCACTTGAAATAGGCAGGTGGCGATCGCGCTTCGGCATAGTGCAGGATTTAGAAAAAAATGTCGTAGCATACAAACTGTCACAATAAATCGCAGATACTAGTATTTATATGGTCTGTGGTCGCAGAGGTGCCGACTGTTTTAATTTTTTTTTTCATCCTTTATGGAATTTTCGCTACGACTAATAATAGATAAAATCAACGACTTCAATCTATAGACAAGAATATTCATAGCAACTACATGTTCCAAATAGTTCCAAACAAAACACTGTCAATAGTGGTAGGTTTTGTTTTAGTGCTGAATTTTGTCAAAGAGTATCAGTACCCTAGTACCGTGGACAAAGTCTATACCTATTAGGAATCAGCTAGACAGGCAGATAATAATGATATTTATCCATAGTTGGGGAATCAACGTAAAACCCCTGGCAAAGTCGCTATTAGGTGCACAATACATTCTGTTTTGCTTTGATCAGGGGCCTTCCGTTTATAATTATTATATTACTTTATTTACAGTTATTATATTACTAAAAAGAAAAACAAATTAGGTAAAAGAAAAAATACAGTCGAGTTGTTGAAATTATTGATATTATGTTAAGTAGTTTTCCTGGTGGAAAGGCAAAGATTTTATATTTTAGACCATGCAGCCTAGTCAAGAAATTACATAGATATTTTTCAGCTTAGTCTTTTTTACATATACATGTTTTTTAATTTATATGTTAACCTTAGTAACTGTTATAATTATATTATACATACTTTGTTATTGTGTAGTCCGAACACTCTGTTGCTTATTAATCTATGATATATGTTTTGTCTTGTTTTAACGAGATGGATAGTGCGAAATTTTGTATACTATTTCGCGATTATCAAATATTATAAAGCACAAATTAATCAAAAACCACAATAATATTTACCGAATCATTGTGAATAATTTAAACTTTAAATTTAATCACACAATTTGTGAAATCACGAAATGTGAGCAACACACAGTTGCAAATTAATTTTCAAATGGACCGTATCTGCGTCCGCCATCTTGAATGTTTAAAAACCGACTAAATAATGTGCAGCGTCTTCTCAGTATGGTATGTGGCCGCATCTACATAGTACGCTAGATATCGTTGAGTAAAACCAATGAAACGTATGGTACATAGGGCGCACTATAGGTTTCCGGAACTGGCCACTTACATAAACAATATTTAAAATGTAATTACAACATTTGAAAATGGAGTTCTTTGACTGTAGAATACAGTTTGTTTCATCTGACTGTCAATTGTTTTTACATTGTGGCATCATTTTAGAAATTGGTTATCTAAATGATATATATAATTCACCATGGATATAATTCGTGAAAATTTTCGTAGTATGATTTTCTACGACTTTAGGTGTGATTAAACAGCTCAGCGGAGCTTCGCTCGGCTTCAAACTGCTTTTGGCGATGAAGCACCATGCAAGACGACTATTTATATAGCTAGTTTGCAGAATTCAAACGCGGCCGTTTGTATCTCAATGACGAATTTCTTGATGGTCGCCCGACCACTGCTATAAACAACAAAAACATCGATGCTGTGCGCCGTATGATCAAAACAGACAGTGACAGACTTTAAGATTCGGGCATCTTTAGGCATAGGCATAAATCAAATACAATCAATACTACACAAACATTTGGGTGCGAAAAAGGTGTGCTCTCGGTGGATCCCATACAATTTGACTGAGGCTCAAGAAACGGTTCGGTCACTTGGTGCAATGGTGTGGGACATAGTAACAAATGACGAAACGTGGATTTATAGTTACGATTCCAAACCAAAGCAGCAATCGAGCGTATGGGTATTTCGAGATGGGTCGAAACTAACCAAAGTGGCGCGCGTTCAAAGTGCCTCTAAGCGGATGATTGCTCCTTTTTTTAATAAAACTGAACACGTGGCTACTGTTAATGGTGATTGGTACACGACCATTTGTTTGCCGGAAGTTATTGAAAAACTCCCTAAAAATAACCGTAAACGCCGTATCATCTTGCACCACGATAATGCCAGTTCTCACACGACCAGACAGACATATGAATTTTTGAAGGTGAACAACGTTGACCTTATGAGCCATCCCGTATACAGTCCCGACCTGGCACCTTGTGACTTATTTATTTCCAAAAATTAAGAACCAGTAACGCGGTCACCGATTTTCATCACCTGAAAAGGCTGTCGAAGAGTACGAGAAATATGTTTCAGAGATTGTCACGGAGGAGTGACATAAATGTTTTCAAAATTGGTTCATTCTTATGAAAAAGTGCAAAATAATAAATTGAAAATCTCATATCTATCATCCCGAGTATTCCCATATGACAATGGATATTTATCTACTTTAATTAAAAATTTTAATCATACTTTGATTACAGTAAACTATACAAAATACAAACACCAAAAAAAAAATTTAAACATTTGCATGTCGATATTGACTTATCGATGATTACGGTACATCACTAAAGAAATCCGCCATTTGTGATGTACATTTTTGGTTTAGGTAGGTACGTTTATTCCTTAGATAGGGCAGCTCCTTTCCATTATTTTTTTCCATCCTGTAAAGTGTGGCACCGTTTCATATTTTTTTCCACCCTTTAGAGGCATCGTAGCTCCCCTTTTTTTTTTATCCTTAAGCTCCCCTTAGATTATTATTCCATACTATATAAAATAGGTAGCTCCTAAAAATTTTTTCCATCCTTTAAGCCCCAAAGTCTCAGAGATTTTTTTTACATGACATTGTCAGTGAGGTTGTCTTCTTTTTTAACATAAAAAAGAGTTCATAACAATAAAGTACAATATCAGTGACAATAATTATGTAGCGTTAGTTGTACCTAAATTTTATTTATTTTACTTACACAGTTACTTAATTTTTATTCCTAAACAAAACGTAATCTCTAAAAGTCGTTTTTACCACATGTATTCAATATAGATATTTGTTAAGATAAAATACTTTGTTTTATATAATTACATTAGAAACGAACACAATTTGTTAGTAGTCAGATCGGAACAGGTTTCACTATGTGGAATATGGCCGCATCCGGCGGCGCCGCAGCGCGGCAGCGGCGCCGCGGCGCCTGTGGTAATATTTTTATTTTATATTCAATATAATTTGGCTTTTACTACCGCCATATTCAAATTTCATGTAAATTATAAGTATGGCAACTTGGTTACTTGTAAAAAAATAAAGGTGCCTCTGTAAGTCACTTATTTTAAAGGAAACTTGTGACATAAGGTTACTTTCCTATAATAATACATAATATTCATTCATTTGAATGGTTTCATAATTCTTGTTTGAAATAATGACAGTCTGAAATATTACATCACAATTTATCTGTAATAGTTTCAGCATTGCATTTTGTATGCCGGAAAGGTTGCCTTTTTAATCAACTTTTATTTGGACTATTATATTATGGTTTATAAAATTAATATTTGGTAAATTAAGATAACTACGAAGTTAATATAATTGCTATACTAATTGAAATATTATAGCCCTTGTTACTTTACACCTGTGTAATGCACAACATTTACAATTCATGCTCAACCAAGTGAGTCAAGCAATGCTGCTTTGTGATTGGACGATATTATGGTGTAAAAAATTGATAATATTTCATTAGGTCAATGTAATATTTGCTGAATTAAGAC